CATCCTGTTGACATAAGCACTGATAGTGGAGTAATAATAAATAACACACTGTATTTTCCGAGATGGTAAACCAGAGATGAACATAATATGGTAACAAGATATTCATATGTCTGACAGAATCGTGTTTTATGGCATTGTACTACGTTTTCATAAGGTAAATATATGTACTCTTACTGAAGTATGTCAATACGCTTACATAGCATTTCACATTACTTAAGCATCTGGAGATAAAGGTAAGCAGAAGAAAACACAATGTAGAAAAAAAATGTAAAGAAGGTTACATAGGATAAAATAAAATTATACAATCAACTGATGTCATGAAAGATTGTATGTATATTTGTATGGTTGTGACTCAATCACCTCTAAACAATTGAAGAAATCGGAATTAAATTTGGAACAGGAATAGATTATGGTGTGGACGAACACATAGGATACTTTTTATGCCACCGGGACGTGGGTGAAACAGCTGTTAGAATTTAGTTTTAAAAACTACTGTGTAGAAAAACATGCAACTTCATGTTTTTACGACAAAACAACATATTTTTTTTATAAATGTATGTAAAAATGTATGTATATTTCAAAACGCCTGGTTGACACATCTCGTGACCAGAGGGCTGGACTTTTTCTCGGTCCGAGGTTAAGCATTGCCATGCTGCCAACCTTCTGGGTACTTTCCCCACTGACGTCGATGACTACGAATTTTTCGACGCTTTATGTAAATAGTTGTTTTTGTTTTTTTCTTATAATTAATTTTAATCTTTAGTTGTATATATGTATTTTATTTAGTAATATTTAGTTTTAATTTTTTTAAGTAATAATAAGTTTTTAATTTAAGTTTTTTATTTGAATAAATGAGTATGTATATAATAAACATCATAACTCGGCAGTGAAACAGTTTTCTATGAAATCAAGTCAATATACATACAAAAACAAATCTTTCTCCCGAGAAAAATACTGAACGTAAAAAAATCAGTGATTGAAAGATGTCAGGTATAAGCACTCGCATTTGTGCCTCTTGAATATTTGATGGGCCGGAAATTGGGAAAGTGCGTATTCACTTTAGGAACTTAAAAGGACATTGTTTTCATTAAAATCGTGAGAAAAACCTTATCCTACTTTCTTCTTTTGTAAAAAGTGACAATCTTATAATTAGGTCCCTTTATTGATAAGTACTGTCGTAAATTGAGTTATTCATACATTTCGTTAAAAAACCAGTAAGTAAATAATGTACTAGTTTTTGGAATATTATTTGGTAACATTTTATTCAAAAAAAAAAACATAAATTCACTAAAAATCGCGGGTTACTCACGTGAATATACTGAGAAAAGCTCATGAGGAAGAATCCTCTCTGTGGTTCGAAATTAGTAGAGCTTTTCTCAGTATATTCACGTGAGTAACCCGCCATATTTAGTTAAATTAGTATGTCTCACGATAGTTATTATAAAAACATATCATAAATTAATTAGTATGTACCACAAAAGATATAATATAAAAACTATAAGAAGGAAGTATTAGGACGTATCGTATCTTACTAATATTATGAATGAGAAAATTTGTGTGTTAGCGTGTTTGTTTGTTACTCAATCATGTCATAACGGCTGAAGGGATAAAGATAAACTTTGGAAACAAGTGAACTTAAGCAAATAGGCCACAAGGCAGCACTTTTATGTCGGAATACTGAAACGCTACTCAATTTTAAGTCGCGCTTTAGTATAGTTCTGTTACCACTAATTCTTTGTAAAATGACAGAGATGGCACGATATTTAAGCATTTATAATTGAGTAACGTTTCAGTATTGCGGCATTAGACGTCAATTACGAACAGGGGTAGATTATGGAATTTTTTTAAGCGGAGAAAATCATCTAGTGATTGCTCCCGCCTGGGGCAGGCGAGAGGGAGTGTCAGACTCTTACTGACTAAAGATAACACAAAGGCTATTTTTGATATACCACGTGACTGCGGGCGAAGTCGCTGACAGAAACTCGTTACTACTATACTTTGCTTCCAAGTGCATAAAAAAAATTATGTACGAACCAAAAAAAAGTTTGCAAGGAACGGAGATGGTGCTCAGTAGTTTGTAGTTCCTGCCGAACCACACAGAGGCATAAGTTTATGTGGTTAAATAACAGATTACTAACGAGTATTTAGATCTGACTAGACTAGACTAGAGCTTAGTTTAGTTAAGGGTCTGATATTGAAACTGGAACTCGTTAGATTATATTTTAGAACTTAAGGGACACAGTCTGACGGAGGATTCTAAATTGTATAATTTTGTACCAGAGAACTAAGTTTCATCAAGACAAGTAAACGTTAAATTGAATATGAATGTTTGGCATAGAAAGAGAACATGTATTATTGTACCTCGCCTTTTATTGTTCTTAAGAAGTATTAAAATGTAGCATTTTGACGTTTGACTGCACGGTTGGTGCGGTGGCTGGGCAACCGGCTGCCGTGCAACGTGTCGCGGGTTCGATTCCCGCACGGAACAACACTTTGTGTGATCCACAAATTGTTGTTTCGGGTCTGGGTATCATGTGTATGTGAACTTGTATGTTTGTAAACGCACCCACGACACAGGTGATAATCCTAGTGTGGGGCAACGATTTTTTTTTTTTTAATAAATTATTTCTTGCGAGTTACGTTAATTACAATAAACCTGTGTTGTGACAGAACTTGAAAATAAAGCAATTTAAATTTCATTTTATTTACTTTCCAAAATGGAGCTCAACGTTCTGTGCATATAAGATGCAAATATTAGGCGAGTGAACCTACACTTCATTTTCATGTCTTACACAAAATCTACATTACGTGACTCGTCCAAGATCATAATTTATTAATAGAAAGTTAAATTTCACCGCTTTATCGAGCCGGATGCGGGGAGATACCGGATCAAATAGCTTTCGGCGATAGAATATTAAAATAAATCGCAAAAAAAGAAAACAATAACTTGCAAATCGTCGAAACAAAATGAAATAACAACGCAAATCGTGATTTACGGAACCGCGGTTCCAAACGAAAGAAACGTTTCCGCCAGCTGACCCATAATAAATAAACATTTGACAAGGAAACAAAGGAGAGAGGAAACGAAAAAAAAATATTAAAAATAACAAAAAAAAACTTTTTGACTGATCGACGAGAAATAACTTTCTTAACAGTAAGCCGAGGGTTTGTTTTGCTTCAGTCTAATAAAACATAGATTGTTATGTCAACAAATTCAACAACTCTTATTTGAATTACTACTTCCAACTCACTTAATAACTTACAGCGGCAATATCTATGTACGGAATGGAGATCTTAGATTGAAATAATGTCGGCAGATGTTCATAAATATTAATAAGTAACTAGCATTGGCCCCGTGGCGCTGTTTGCTTGTACATTTTACTGGTCTCAAGTGACAATAATGTAAGTACGAAGGTCCTAAAACAATTCGTTTTGTAAGAGGATTCTGGTTCTCTGTATTGTTGCAAGATAATATATCTTTTGTGTTTTCACTGCGAATTACTAGGATTCCCAGAATTTCTGGCAGTGTTTACTTGTAGAGCTGTTAACACTGGTGTAGCGGTGTCTTGCTTGGCTGAGTCACCGTTTCTAGAAATTTCGTCCTTATGATTTCATTTCAACGAATTTTCTGTTAAATAACTTGCTAAGAGACAGGAATTGTGACACCATTTGACTTGTACCACATTTTCTTTTTACGGTGATATAAAGGAGTTAAGAGTATGACTGTAGATAGAAGAGGTCGGTCCTTAGATCGATTTTAGATTTCAATAGAATTTTAATATTTTAATATTGTAGTTTGTAATGTTTACCAAGAATAATATAACAAAGCATGGTGTATATTGAAAATTGTTTTCAAACCTTTGTTTGAACTGAAAGAGGTATGTAAGAATCGTAGTAATTGACATTCTATAATCTCTGCCTACCTCCATGGGAGACAGGCGTAAAGTTACGTATGTATGTATGTACGTATGTTTTCTTTAAGTAATTTTAATTTAAATTCTTCATTTATACCGTAAAGGCAACAACGAAATCTTCTCTGTACATTGTGTTAACTCTAAGACATTATTTTTAAATTTAATTCAAGTAACGATTAGTAATCTGTGTAAGTGTACCTTAGGGAGTGGTAAGAGCTGAGGCGAAGGGATTATACGAGAAACAATTTGTCTAGCAAGCATTATACTGAGGAATATTGCTGGAAGATTGTTTGTCGTGCCAGTCTCTAGCTGTTGTTTGTACTCTAGATGCAGACAAGACTAGTGTTGATTTAGCAATTATGTGATGGTTTGAAAGTGTATTAATTCTCGGGATGTTGAATTAGAGGTAGTTAATCAAATGATTAATATTTTGAGACAATGTCATGAATTATTGACAAGATTGTACAGTTATACTTGGTTAGATTTGTATTAGTTTTTCCTATAAAAAGGTTCCGTAGTTTTTAGTAAAAACCGAAACTAATTTGATGTATAACATAAATCAGGGTACTTAGCTAAAAAGGATAAAGTTACATCAAGTTAAACAACATAACATAACATCACGCCTTTTATCCCCGAAGGGGTAGGCCGAGGTGCACATTACGGCACTTAATGCCACTGTTCAATGTAACACCCACTTTTCACTATTTATGTAATAAGTTCCAAGTAATAGGGGGTGAGCCTATTGCCATATACCGGGCACTATTCCAGACTCCGTGCTACCACTGAGAATTTTTTAAAAACCCAGTAGTACTTTGCCCGACCCGGGAATCGAACCCGAGACCCCTTGCCCGGCAGTCGCACTTGCGACCACTCGGCCAACGAGGCAAAGTTAAACAAGTAAACATAATACCTAAAAACCGCTCAAAACTTACACAGACCCTTACTTCAATCCACGCATTACAGTTTCGACCATAAAAAAGTGGCCAAAAAAGCGTCCATTAAAACTGCACGTTGTTTAAAAGCTGTTTACGACTTAATTGCTCGACTTACGAGTTTTAAAACATTATCTCATTCTCATGGACTTACCGCAAGTGTAAACAACTTTGAGATAGGTTCGACTCCCAGCTCGGCAGGGCTTGCCGAACATGTTACTGTCTGCGGAGAGAACACATCTTCTTTTCCCGTGGCACTCTCTCATGGCAGTCTCCGTGGCATACGGCTCCAAGCAAGCTGAGAAAAAAAGATTTTATTAACCATCAAATTTGTTTAGATTGAATCCTATAAGGAATAGTTCCAAATATTTTGTTTATTTCTCTCTTAAAGTTGTTCTGGTTAAAATAAACGAAGTTTGTGTATAGCCATAAAGATTTTTAATGCTTCAGAGTGGTTGAAGCTTTAAATGAGTGTGTACTCTGTTTGGCTTATTACTATACCCTATTATTATATGTATGTATGTATTATGGTATAACTATATTAATTACTTAATAATTTTATAATATACTTCACACGCTACTCTGCATTTACTGCTTTACGTGCGTTGCGTTACAGCCACAGGTTCAGTTGAAAATCAGCGTCAGGCAGTAGATGTCTGGCATTTCTCCTCCTCCTTCCTCCGCTCCTGAGGTCTGACGGGACGCTGGCTCACACTGCGGTAGAGAAAGCAAATCTATTTGCTTCTCTATTTGCGGAGTCTTCGCGTCTTGACACTGGTGGCGCCTTGCCTCCTTCTGTTAATAGCGTATGCAAGACGAATATGTCGCAAATTCGCATTCGACAGAGGGAGGTATATAGGATGCTACGCGATCTGGACGTGAACAAGGCCAGTGGTCCCGACGGAATCCCAGCCCTGGTTTTAAAAACCTGTGCGCCTGAGTTGTCTCCAATCTTGACACGTCTGTTTCGCCTTTCCTTGGAGACGGGTCTAGTACCGGTTGCTTGGAAGCTGGCCAACGTACAGCCTGTGCCTAAAAAAGGTAGTCGTGCCGACCCTAACAATTACCGCCCTATTTCGGTCACGTCCATACTCTGCAAGAGCATGGAACGTGTTCTTAACAATAGACTCCTGGCATACCTTGAAGGTAACGATCTCCTCAGCGATCGGCAATACGGGTTTCGACGTAACCGATCGACTGGGGACCTTCTTGCGTATGCCACTCACATATGGAGCGAGGCCATAGAGGGGCACGGAGAGGCACTAGCAGTCTCCCTCGATATTTCGAAGGCCTTTGACAGGGTATGGCACGACAGTCTAATCGGCAAGCTTCCTGCATATGGACTTCCTACTGGTCTGTGCAGATGGATAGCAGACTTTCTGAGGGATCGGTCAATACGAGTAGTCATCGATGGCTGCTCGTCTGACCAATTCGGTATTAATGCCGGCGTCCCTCAGGGGTCAGTACTTTCAGCGACGCTCTTTTTGCTGCACATAAACGACCTGCTTAAGCCCGGTATCTTTGGGTATGCAGATGACAGCACAGTTGTTGAAAGGTATGTGTCCGGTGCGCGGACTAGCGGAACACAGATCCAGTCTTTAAGAGAATCCATGGTCGAACGTTTGAACTCGACCTTGAAGGCGGTGTCCGACTGGGGTGACGCCAACTTGGTTAGGTTCAATGCTAGCAAGACCCAGGCGTGTCTATTCTCCGCCAAACGGAGTCAATTTCCGCTGACTCCTACTTTCCGGAATGTATCCGTACCGATAACCGATCGTCTTGAGCTTCTTGGTGTAACTCTGACGCCCACGCTCAACTTTGGCTCCTATATAGAGTCAAAAGCGCAACTGGCTGGTAGGAAGTTGGGTGTCCTTTGGGGGTGAGACGGTACTTCACGCCGAAACAATTGCTGAGCCTGTACCAAGCACAGGTTCGGTCCTGTATGGAGTACTGCTCTCATCTTTGGGACGGCTCGGCTAAATATCAGCTGGACGCGTTAGAGCACATTGAGAGGCGTGCCAGGAGGCTCATCGACGATGATGCGCTTGTGAAGGCTCGGCTTCAAAGCCTCGAACACAGGCGTAAGGTTGCAAGCCTTTCGGTTTTCTACCGGATACATTTCGGGGAGTGTGCGGGGGAATTGCACAACTTGATTCCCCCTAGTCCTTTCCATCATCGTACCACAAGACAATCCGCGAAGCGTCACCGATTCATGGTAGATGTTCCGCCCACACGCACGAAGCGCTTTGCTTCAAGCTTCCTTGTGCGTACTGCTAAAGAGTGGAATTCTTTGCCAGAGTCTGTATTTCCTGAAGGGTATAACCTGGGAGTCTTCAAGGCCCGAGTGAATAGGTTGCTTATGGGACGACGTGCTCCAACGTAGACCGCATCATCGCTTACCAACAGGTGAGATAGTGGTCAAACGTCGCCCCATCAATTATAAAAAAAAAAAAAAAAAAAAAAATTATGCTGAACTGGAGCAGCTATCGGGACATGATTATTGTTGGTATTTTTAAATTTTGTATATACCTACCTACATCTATTTTTGTCTTATCTTATTTTTTTTATTTCACTCCTAATTTTTTGTTTGCTTTGTATTTATTGTATTGTGTTTGTGCCTGGTGTTGTACCAAATAAATTATTTTTCCTTCCTTTCCTTCCTTTTCTACTCAACTATTGAACGTATTTATTGATTTGATTATAACGCTTGATAATTCTCAGTAAAATTTCGAATACAAGGACATCAAAATAATTAAAACTACGCATCGAAATGAAACCAACAAATTATTATTTAAAGCGGTAAAGAGTAACCAACACCGTGTAATTTAAAAGCGATGAATCCGTAATTACGACCCGATTTTAGTTAAAATCTGAATAATTGTGGCGGATAGCGCACGGACATTATTCAGCCAACAATGATATTTGACAAAATTATATCGTAAAAGTTATTTGTAAAACAAAACCATGGTTCCGTTAAAATGTGGTCTAATGATCGTTTTTAACCAACAACCCTATATGGTATACCATCTCTTAACTACTCTTAACTTACCATAACATACCACCTAAACTATAAACTAACCCCTTGTACTGTTTGATGTCATTTATAGGTTATAAAACCAGCATGTCGTTAAATATCACCTATTTTATTTAACTTAAAGATCCTTAAAATTTAGAGAAAATTTTTTCTCATAAAATTGTTTCATTAAGTTGTCTATCATAGCCAAAAATATGGTAACAGACTGGAAATGCTTCAGTTACATAAGATGGGCAGTACTTATAATGAGGGTCATTATCGATTTCATGTTTTCCAGCCCCCGTTTATCGCTCACTTAGGGTTGAATAATGTGCCTACCCAGTTTCCCAAAGAATGGGGTGCCGTTTGCCCAACTAAAATTAGAGAGACGCTTCCAGAATGAGCAACCGAACGGTTGTGTTTGTATGAATATTCGGACGAATAATTTGATTTAATATTCGAACGCAGTTTTGTTTTAGTATTCCGAATTCAAATGTTTAAATTGCCATGTCATTCAAATGTCACGACCATAGATTTGTTCTATTTGTGAATTTAAAAAGTAAACCGTTTGGTATTCATTGAAATTGTGTTTAATTAAGTTTTGATAGATTGATACCTTGTTTCTATTGTACTCGTGGTCTTTATAGTTACTGTAAACAATTGAAACAACTTCTATATTGTGTTTTCTACAAATAGTAAGTCGGTCAAATGCAATAAAACAGTTAAGTCGGTCATCTGCTCGTCGGGCTCTATAATTGAATGCTTATAAACAAACTCATAAAAAGTATTACATAACAATACTTAAATTCTTCGAATACTTTTAGTGTTATGAAACAAATTCTCACTGTTATAAAAAAAAATACAAGGATTTGTATAATGCAGTTAAAAATTCATTAAAATCCACATCGAGGAAGATTAAAATTTTTACAATCGAATAATGCAAATTCTAAACATTTGGAGTACTTTTGGAGTATTATTCGAATCCGCTCATCCTTACGTTTCTAAAACGTAAGAATCTAAATAATTTATTCAATAAACAGGCTTCAATGGGCTGAATTTACACGTTAAAATTAAATTAGCGATTCCGACCGAGGAACGCTTTCATTTCGAAATTAGGTTTCCTTCAGAATGAATTTGAGATAATAAAAGTACTAAATTGTCCTTATTAATTTTCTATCACCATCTATTGTTCGTCGTTATATTATATTGCTACATTACAAGAGCATTTAATCTCTATTTATTTATGCAAATGTTCGAAAAGTATTTTCGATTCCCCTCAGTAGCAGATTAGTCATACTTGACAGGAGTGAATGAATATACAAAGCGAATAATTGAACAGTGAAGGTAAATGACAGTGGAGATGAATGATCGGCCTTTGCATCTGTTATACAAATGCAGTGTCTAAATCAGTGGTAGAACTAATATTTTAACTAACATTTATGTATGTCAACAACAGATTCATTTGAATCAATATTACTTGGGACGTTAAAATCAATTCCCGGTGTACATCAAAAATAGAATAGATGGCAGTTCATCCATCATACGAGACGCGTGAAAATGAAACAAAAATACTGGGACAAAATGTTAGAAGAAAGAAACAAAACAGATTAGAAACAACGAGATGAGTTTTTCAGGTGAATGGAGTTCGGTGACGAAAAGGAAAAGTAGATAATGGATAAAAAAAGAAATGCTCGAAGCGTTTAGGGTCAGCTTACGATGTTGCTAACTGTCGTATTAATGTTTCGGTATTGTGGGGCGAACCAAATAATATATTCTTCGCATTGATATTGATTTTCTACTATTGGGCATAGATTTCGGTAAGATGAGAATGTTTGCGTTTTCTCTTTATATTATTATAATGAAAGATTTTACGTCTGTATTATTAAAGAGGTTAGAGGTTGTGGTATGTAAACAAAAATACAACATTATATCTTTATAATACAGTTGAATTTTTATGGTTTCGGATATCATATATTAAATATTCAACGTCGTCAAGTTAAACTGACGAAACTAAGAAGAAAAATAGGTTTTTAAGTTTTGTACTATTTGTTTTTTGACTAACAAAAGTTCAACAAAGACCTATCATGATGGTATAAACTTCTATATATTCTGTGATACAAACAGTAGCAAAAAATAAACATATTTTTCTTACTGACAATCAATACGCATTTTTTTTTATATTACCTACTATTATAATTCTATCCAATACTTACTTTCTTCCTTCATCCCTCGTGGCTGTGGACATTGAATTGAGTCATATTCCGTTCTTCCATACTGAGCTGAGTATATTGCAACCCTCGAGTGAGGATTGCAGCTTAAGTGCAGTACATCATTCTCACAACCAACTTTACTTCGGAACTCGTCTGTGAACAAGAAAAATATGTTAAAATAGCACGTTACACATACACACCGTATATTCCATAAAGAGGTAAAAAGAGAGTCTACAAGACTCTCTTTTTACCTCTTTATCTATATCAGTTATATATGTTATATACAGAGTTTAACGGAACGCTCGCGAATCGCTGACAAAAAGTAATTGTTTTACAATTTTAATCATGTCTTGTTTTCGGGCTATTCATGCAAAATCGGTCTGGAGCGGTTGGTTACAATTAGTATCACATAAAAGAAACATTTTACTTCTTACTTTTGTGAGAATAAAACTTATTTTTACCATCACCTCTTGACGTTATACCATTCTATACCATACCATACTACATCGGATACAATTTATAACTTTGTCCTATTCCACAATAACTCAACAGCACTATTTGTTCAACTTAAGGTCTACTGCCCACGTTAACTAATTTGGCTAATGCATACATTCGTCAAAAATCGTTTTTGACGAATGTAAGCAGATTCAACTTCATGGACAGTTTTCATTATTTCTAAGCAAAATGCAAGCATTTGTCACTTGTAGGTCGCATTTTGTTTATGAAAGACGTCGTCGTTAAATGACGCAACGTGGACAATTACCCTAAGTACCGAATAAGACCCTCTCGCCTAACCCAAGGTGAGATAAGTCATTGGATGATTTTAACCCCCCAGAAAAAGTATTTTTTACGGAATAGGAGGCAAACAAGCAGACGGATCACTTGATGGTAAGCGATCAGCGCCGCCCATGGACACCTGCAACACCCGAGAAGTCAAAGGCGTCGGTTGCCGGCCTTTTAAAAAGAAATACTCTCTTTCCATGAAGGTACTGAATAAGAAATAACTATTACTTGACAATCGGCCAACGGACACTGATGGAAATGCTAATTAAGATATAAATGATGAGACTTCGATCCAAGATAAAGGCGTCCAAGTAATAGATTGGAAGGATAATGAGATTGTCGAAGATAGTATAGACTTAGAAGAGAAATATTAAACGTAAGAAATAAGAGACAGGGAAGGTCGCCGCCATCTTAATAATGTTTTGGAAAAAATAGTGATATAAAATTGGTGTGGCATTAAGTTGGTTATTTCTGGTTGGTACTTGAATTGTTTGATGACGTATAAACAAATTTTGAAGATAATGACACATTGACAATCGTTCTCGTACGAATTTATGAACTTGAAAAAGTTGTTTTGTGCTACATTTCAAGTGTGGGAAAGCCGTGCTTCGGCACGAATGGGCCGGCTAGACCAGAGTGATACCACGGCCTTACAGAAAACCGACATGAAGCAACGTTGCGTTGTGTTTCGTCGTGTGAGTGAGGTTACCGGAGATCCAATTACCCTCCCCTTCCCCAATCTCCCCAAATTCTGAATCACCAACGATCCTCAAACTCTCAAAAAGCCGGTAACGCACTTGTAACGCCTCTAGTGTTCCAGGTGTCCATGGGCGACGCCGATTGCTCACCATCAGGTGATCCGTCTGCTCGTTTACCGGCTTATGATATAAAAAAAAAAACATTTTATTCACCCTGCAGCTAAAACCAGACTCAACTACATAATTACATCACTGTACTAAAGCCATTCAATTATGATATCAATATCAACTCTTTCTTAATCCAATAAAAATAGAGTAACATTTTAATTATTTGTTGTCCGAATAAAAACCTTTATTATTATTAAAGTGCTCATAAACAAATAGTAGTTACTTCTCTCACAAAGGCAGCAACAGGACAACATCGAAATAAATCGAATCGTATTCAAATCGCTCCTCACATTTCTATCAAAAAGGAATTTGTCATCAAGAACGTTTTAAAAATGCTCTTTCAAATAGTTTAAGGGAGACGAATAGAAATATAGTTTCATCAATTTTGTAGCTGTAATGAAACATTTTTGGGATTCTCGTGGATTTCATTCGAAAGTAAATATTTTTACATTCGTAGGTCATAATGTCATACCCTCTTCTTGCTTGTTATATATTGACTCGGTACTATGACCACTTGAGACAGTCAGTTAAATGTGTTTAGATTGTTAATATATTAAATTAGCTAAAGTACTTACAGGGACGGCATTTGTATGCGACTTCAACGAATCTTCTAGAACCCGGGCAGGGGTCGACTCCAAAGGCCTTGGGGCTTGTGTGGAATTTACACTGTCGCTTCTTCTGACACGCTTCCACCACTGTCTGTAACAAGGAATACTACGCAAATTAGTTAGTATGCCTATTCTCTTCAAACTTTGGCCAAAGCATAGTTACTTTGCCCTTAAGGTATTTACCAGTTTGATAGTTTTGCAACTGTTATCAGGCAGAAAACTTTCGAACATGTGGGTTGGATAATTATACGTGACTATTTTCAGCAGTTGCCTTATGCTTATAAGTTTATTTAGCAGTAGGTAGTACTCTAATTTTCTATCCAAATATAATTAAAGATCTGAGCATCTTCACAAGCATACAAGTAGGACACGTAGTTTGAATTATATAATTACTGGAATCAAGATCAGGGGCAAATTTGCTTTTCGTAAAATTAATTTGTGTTAACTCAAAGGCTTATGTTTTAAACAAAAATAGATTGTAGAAAGTTTGAAATGAAATGTAGATGATATATTATAACTAGCGTTCAAATTGCTTTGGGAAATCAAACCTTTCGCCCACGGAATGAGAAGTTTTCTCATTCATTCTGTATCAGACACATTGGCTGATATTATAATCAAACTGACAAATATAACATGACGCATTTTCATTGAACCGTATATTTTCTCATCAGACAACGTTTTATTTCGAAATCCTTTTATCAATTCGAAAGCATTGTAACGACAAAATAACACATTTCAATTTATCGAAGGATTCCTTTTTGAACCAAAATCATATTTTACTGGCAAATAAAATTATATTCCTATTCCATCGCGGGTTATATGAAAACATTAAACGTAACGATAGAATAACTGCTATTTTACATTTAACAAATCCTTGATGTTTTCGTAGCGGCGAATGTTCGAGAAAAAAATAAGCTTCTTGTAGTAATAATATGAAATAACAAAAGCTAAATCAGGTTTGTGTTTTCTAAGCTGAAGTTGTACTAAAGAAAATATAAGGGAAATATGAAACGAGAGAATATAAATATATCGCATATAATGTTGTTATATGAAAGGTTGGCAGTATTGGCAGCTGCTCGTAAAGCCGAATTATTGCCTAAACATATCAGAACAGTAATAAAATTTGTTGAAAGCAACAGTCTGATGTTTGACATTTGACTAAATGGACAAGTGAAAAGGCATACAATTTGAATGACGCTGATGTATAAATGCTTCCAGTTGATAGGATTGAAGTGATTGGAATATTTTATTGAAAATACAAACATTCATAAAATTTATCTTAAAAGCCTTTTGGCAGTAATAAATATAACTGGTTTGATTTTCAAATATGGTTACTCAATGTGAAACTATGAAATTTTTAAACCGATTGCTAAAATTAAATAATAAACCGGGCAAATCGTCACTACAAACTAAACAAGACTTTATTTAAAACATTAATTGATTTGTTTAAAGATTTACTTGTACAACACGCAGTGGTGGTCTGCCTTTATTTTGAGCGACCCCATAAAATCCCGTCGATATTACAAGAGGCGATTAAGGGATTACATTTAGGAAGATGGACAGCTGTATCAACCGGGTACAATCCCACATTACAACGGACGACCCAACCGCTGATGAAGCGTATATCTAATCTAATTATTCTACACGCCATGTAGGTTTTACATTGTATTATTTTAGGACATTTCATTAATTTGCTTGGAAAATAAAAATATACTCTCAATTGAAATGGTAAGTAATTGTATTCGAGCGTTCATTTACCATTAATAATCGTGGGCAGTGTTTCGATTTCCAACAATGTAAACATGTGATTACTAATTTGAATAGACATGTACCTACATTTATACATTTCACATTCTTGCCTTGGTTTAACCGCTGTTTTCACTTAAAAACCAAATAGTCTTAGTGGTTAAAAAAAAAGAGGGTTCATTGATTTCCCAGTAGCAAGGGATCTACACTCAGAATTCAGCAAATAGTTTCACTTTAAAATTTCTTGTTGACGTTCAAACGTGCCTTTCTGATCTAAATTAAATAAATGATTTTGACTTTGACTTTACCAAAACGTGTATTGCCTTAAAAAATTCATCTAACCTGCAGAGCACTGGGCCAGATACATGACGTATCTCCTACAACTTCAACAGCTACCGGCTGATACTCCGCCAGGTCTGAAGCACAGGATCCTTGCGTAGCCGAAGCTCCATACTGCGCAACTTGGATACTGATGGTGGTTCCTCGAGGACATATGAGTGTCACCATCTCCTCATCACAAGCAGCCTTCTGATGTGTTCGAAGTGTACCCAGAAGAAGTTCTGTGGACAAATGAAATTGTGTTTTATTACGGTGTGTTGTGGTTTTAGTTTGAAGTGGTTGGTATTTTTTTTATGACCTTGCTCGACACTAGGATTTTCTCCTGTGTCGTGGGTGCGTTTACAAACATACAAGTTCACATACACATGACACTCAGACCTTGAACAACAATTTGTGGATCACACAGAGAGTTGCGGGAATCGAACTCGTGGCACGTTGCGCATAAAAGCGCTTATGAATTAAAACGTTTTAAACTGTATTGTGTACAGTTGTTAGTTGTTGAATGGCGCCTAATAATTACCGAGAAAACGTTTATTATTGTTTGTACGAGACCAAGTTCCTACAATAAATGTATTGTGTATACTCAGCAAATTTTATACGATCCATTTTCTTAAAAGTCAGCTCTGACTTTAGTATGTGTTCAAAAGAAAAATAGTTAGCCATAAGCAATATTTTTGGCACCGCAAAGCCATTTTTATCGCAACCCACTGCGTCTGCCCACAAATAAGTGCTCTCTCCATTCTTCAAAGAGACCATCACACCAGCCTATTTAGGTCATTACAAAACTTGAAGATAAAATCAAATAATTGGATGAAACGAAGGTTTCTATAATTAATTACTTGTAGTAGACGCTCCTCGACTAGTTATTATCTAGTTCTAATAATTACATAACGTAACTGAAAATGAAAGGTAAGTTTGTAATTTTAGTAATTAACAATCTCATAATGTATTCTGCTAGGTGTGTAACATAATCAAAATCTATATAAATAAAAATGAATTCCCATTCGTTAGTCTAGCTAAAACTCGAGTAGGTACGGCTGAACCGATTTGGCTAATTTTGGTCTTAAAATGTTCGTAGGAAAGGTTTAAAAGGCAAGAAAAAAATGTTTACTCGTACGTAGTTTGTCGAGTCAGCTAGTTAAAAATAAATAACTAAACAATTCTTTCCAACGTCATCCTGTTCTTTCTCAGAACGGGGTAGTTTTTAGTCAGTAAGAGTCTGACACTCCCTCCCGCCTCACCCAGGCGGGAGCAGTCATTCGATGATTTTCCCCCCTTAAAAAAAACCTGTTCTTTCAGAAAGCACTATGTTACCATTGACATAGGTTCTATATCATTGAATGAACTTTAATTTTGAATATTGACATTGGAGAAAACAGCATGAAATAAAAAATAAAATTGTAATAATTCAAAGACAAAATTGAATGTAGGTAACTATGTGTATAACATGAGTTTCAAAAATTAAATCTATTCCGGGAATATTAATTCGCATATCGAATTGGTTTTCAACATGTTATTGCTAATATTGCCTAAATAATAACATTTCATTTGAATAACGGCTATATGTATCAAATCAAAACATTTATTGCCAATTACAGAGAGTTAGGTACACGAATAGAATTTAAAAAATATATTTTTGCTGTTACGGTAGCTATATAGTTTTTATTAATGAATATACTATTTACATATCGATAACAATTTTTATTTTGTTTATTTATTTACTCAAACACAGAAAACACAACAGCTTGCTTAGTATAGTGTATCTATAATGATAACAAGACATAGGATTTCAGCATGCGTTAAGTAAAAACAAGAGAGAGAACAACATATAATTGAAATAAAAGAGATAAGGGATATTTATATAACTAACTATAGTTACTGCCTCGTTGGCCAAGTGGTCGCAAGTGCGACTGCCGGGCAAGGGGTCTCGGGTTCGATTCCCGGGTCGGGCAAAGTATTACTGGGTTTGTAAAAACCTCAGTAGTAGCACGGAGTCTAGAAGTTTGCCCGGTATATGGCAATAGGCTCACCCCCTATTACATGGGACTCTCACTCATAACATAATTGTGAAAAGTGGGTGTTACTTTATACAATGACATTAAGTGCCGAAATGTGCACTTCTGCCTACCCCTTCGGGGATAAAAAAGGCGTGATGTTATGTAATTATTTATGTATAGTTAGTTGGCTGATTAGTCAGTACTATGGGCCGATCCTTCCATCAACAGACATACTCTTAGAACAAACTCAAAATCTTACTAGCTTAACCGGTTAAATTTTCAATTAAGAACTTTTTTTACAACTGATTAAATCGCTTGTTTGCATTCCATATTTAAACTAAAAGAAACACAAATCGCGGCATGAATTTCAAGATAGTCATGAATGAAACAGTTTTTGACCCCAAACACGAGAGAATTCCTTAAATTTTGCAACTGCCGACAGGTTCATTTACCTAAGAGCTCAGCTGCGTATTGAAAAATACCACAGGGGTCCCCCAAGGACGTTTTGGACCCAACAACGATTTATCAATCTTCATTCAGCCCTGCGGAGTTGCTTTTCAAATTTTGTTTGCGTGGACCAAGTAGATGATAATGTACACATTTTTTCTTTAGACGCCCTTGTTATGGACACCCAAATGTGTTATTTTTGGACGTTTTTAGTCTCGTTCGGTTTCTTTTAGCGACGGTAATTAAACTTATTTATAAAGCTTTCATAAATATGGGAAGGTCATTAGGTCATTCAGTGAAATTTTGCCTGCCTCGTTGGCCGAGTGGTCGCAAGTGCGACTGCCAGGGAAAGGGGTGTATTACTGGGTTTAAAAAAAATCTTAGTGGTAGTACGGAATTTGGAATTGTGCCCGATATATGGCAATAAGCTCACCCACTATTACATACAACTCATAACATAAAATTAGTGAAAAGTGGGTGTTACATGGTATAGTGGCATTAAGTGCTATAATGTGCACCTCTGCCTACACCTTCGGGGAAGAAGGGCGTCATGTTATTCTATGTAAAATTTTGCCGTAGTGGAAGACATCAACAAGGTAAAGAGCTTTATTAAAATAAAATGAAGTTAAGTGTATACTTACCTATATATGGAAATATTTCAAGAAACTGAGAAAACCTAGAGTAAAGTATACATTAAAATTCAAATAACAATATCCACTACAAACCGCGTTGAAAACTTTAAAAGAATATTTAGTTTTCGGTTCTTTTTATAATCATCCAATTAGAAGTTCATATTATATTCAATGTTACCCAATTAGAGTCAGAAGGCTAACAATACTAGTATCATTTTGGATGTAATAACACTAATTGAGTTTTTATTAGCAACATAACTATTTAAGGACTGTTGGAAGCCCACTAGGGGTCTTAGAACTGCTCAACGAGTCGTAACGATCCCTCTTATGACCGAACATGTTATTATGGTTTGTTGCTTGAGTGGTGTGACGTAACAGTTTGGTAAGAATTGATCCTTTAGATCAATTGACGGTTAATTTTTATGTAATATGATCCTGTTTTTGGATCGAATGTCCATGTTATTGATATGCTATGTATTAGAATGGGCATGCTTATTTAGTGGATAGATACTCGAAGTGTGTCGAACGTTTTATTAATGAATTGAGTGGCAGTTGTATAAAATAAGATGATGATATCTCATTGGTTTCGTTAGATAAAATTGGTTCAGCCTCGTTTACTTGCACTTCACGATAAGTAATTGATGCTCTATTATACATTATTGTGTTTAAGTTGTCCTATTCGCATTTATTCCTTTTTATTGAAGAGAACGACTATGAACATCTAAATAAGGCATATTTTTTAAATACACGTTCTAGTTTTTTTAATTGTATTTTATTTATTTGGGAAAATTAACAATTACACACTACAATAATACAGTATAACAAATATCAAAGTATAGAATAAATGTATAACCAACGACATTCTCCACAGAATACAAAAAAAGTAGTGAAAAGAACTTGTTTGGGTAGCAACAGTCTCTGCTTTTATCTTTTTTTACTTTTCAATAAAATGTTCTACTTTTTTATCGTTGCAAAGTTAAAAAGTCATAGGAACTACACACTCTCGGTTTACTTCAAAGAGATATGCACAATATCTGAAGCAGCAGTTCAAAATGTTTTTGCAGACACACATGGCTTTTAGTGGCGCTACTTAACATTTTTTTTTAAGTAGAAGGAAAAAAACCCTTGAATGCTACTGTGAAACTATTTTTTTTACAATGGTATCTTTCAGACACCCCTGTGAATGAACACGTGTTTGATGTCTATTTCAAAATATTAGTTTAGTTTTGATACGTATAAAGATCGGTGTCATACAGCCGACTGTCTTTCTTGTTTATAAAAAATAATACTGTTACAATTTTTATCTGGAAAGACATACGGAAATGAGATGACGCACGCACATATTTTTTCATTAAAAATATTTAAAATTAGGTAGAATCTTATAAATGCACTTCGCACTGGTGCAATATGCATGTATTACACTTATGAACCTTTCTTAAGAAACACTGTATCTATTAAAGAAAACTGCATCTAAATCCGTTGCGTTGATTTAAAGAGATAAGCATACATAGGGACAAACAGACTGCGGATAGCGACTTTGTTTTATACTATGTAATGATTTTTTTATGGCATAAGTCGGTAAACGAGCAGACGGATCACCTGATGGTAAGCAATAGGCGACGCCCATGGACACCTGGAACACCAGAGGCGTTACAATTGCGTCACCGGCTTTTTGGAGATTATGAGTTTGAGGATCGTTGGGGATTCAGGGATTGGGGAGATTGGAGAAGGGAAAGGTAATTGGGCCTCCGGTAACCTCACTCACACGACGAAACACAATGACCATAAATACCAAATGCAACATTCAGAAAGCTCAAAACTGTCCCAGACACTTATACGCACCAATACAAGACCAAAGATGCTGTCTCACGATCCTAAACCCAACAAAAACAAGAAACATAACTCAAGCACTTACGCAACTCATTTCTAGCCCCATTTTTCCACTAAACAACATCACGGCTATCAAATAAAAAGCTACGAGCTCTTCTATTACAATAAATAATAACGACCTATCAAAACCTATATCCATACTTAATACTAATTTATAATATCCAATAAATTTCAAGTACTGTTTACCTTATCTTTTACTGGCCCACACGTGTAGACAATAAACCTCTGAGATTGTATTTTATGACGTAGGTACCC